AGCAGGAATTAGTTAAAACTCAGAAAAACAGCCTGACAAAATTTTACTACTTTTGGCTTACAGCTCTTCTCTCTGCGTGCACTCATTCAGATATGCTGACTTTGCAGACAAAAATCAATTTTTACTGTTTCTTTTATTTCTATGTGCACTACAGTGCCTAAATAGCTACGACAATCTAAACTGGATTAATTTTTAGCTAACACACCATGGACAAAATTACTAATCGAATTCTACCTATAAGCCATTTCAGTAGTCACAGATTGGTACGTTATAAATGTTTTTTGACTACACATCTAATAATTCTCAAGTACATCAGTGTTACCATTGACTCACTGCCAAACAGAAAAGGCACGACTAGATTTCAAAACCCCTCTAAAACCCCCTTTCAAAGCATATGACTAAAGGGGGAAAATGCTGTTCAACTTACAAGTACAAAGTTTGAAACTTTATTACCAGAAAAGAAGAATGCCATTCTTACTACGTCACTTTTAAAATTAGGATAAAATCACATGTACGTATTTATACACATATGCTTGCTGGTAGAGTGGACTGCAAAACAAAGCCCAGGAAAGTCAGATTACAGAAAGTTTGTTGTACTTTAAAACAGAATTAGTAGATTCTTACAAAAATCTCACATCTGGTTTCAAAGCCGAGGAAGAAAAATATTGTGAAACCAACTTCTACAAAGTTAAGGTAAGAAATATGACATTTGTTTATCACATATTATTTGTAAAGGTATAGGTGATAAAAAGAAAACCTTTAGAAATACCAGACTTAATCAAGTCTAACTGAAGTATTAATTAAAACAATTTTAGCATAGAATTGCTACAGTAGAAACACAAGTCCATTCCCTCCTCGAACATACTGCTCCCATAATGGGTTTTATATGTGGCATATAATTTCTCAGAAACTTTCTATAAAGCCTATGAAATTCATGAACCCATCACCACAAGCAGAACATATGGATCAAAGCAACTCATTGTCAACCTAACTCTCTGTGGCATATGTAACTCGCTGTGACTTCTGCACAGAGAGAGACTGAACTGATAAACATAGAGTGATTTAAATCTGAAACAATAAATTTGCCTTTCTAATGCCTTTATTGCCTATTAAATGTAAATAATACCTTGTAAGGGAAAAATAGGTCACGCGCTCTGCTGACTTGTTTCTACATTCACATTATGGACTTGATTCAGTTGCCCATACCTAGATGTGCTGGCCCATCTAAGAGGCCCTTGGGAGACCAAGATAGCATCAAAGGAATGGCAGATAAGGCACAGGACCAAGGGAAAGTCTGTATCCATCCTGAGTGGAAGCTGGAGGTCAGCCAGGGAAACTGAGGCCATCTCAAATGGCACTAGATGCCTGTGTGCAGTGACCTAAAGGGAGTTTCTACACTGGGATTCAGCTCCACACTAGGATGTCCTACACCACACAGACATACCTTCAGGTTCCCAGACAAGCCAGAGTTGGGTGCCAACCACCCATTACAGACTCAAGAGAGTTACTGACTTCATCCTAAGGCCAACACTTACAACACTTACTACATCACCTGAGCAGCTCCCCAGGTTCCTCTGACTCTATGGACAAAACTCCCACTGACTGCCACGCACGGACACCCAGCTCACAGTACAGACGCCTGAACTCAGGCATCTGAATTTGCGAGCCAAATTCCACCCTAAAGCTAGGTGGGATGATTCCCAACATAGGAACCTCAGTTTGATTCACATAACTTCAGGCAAACGAGCTCAACTGCGTATTGCAAGGACAATAATCATTGTAGGATCTTTTGTAATGAATGCAAAGGGACAGATGCTTTCAGACACTGATTCAGTTAAATGCCTGATTTTGGGTAAGACTAATCCACAGCTACCCATATCCTCCAAAGCATACAGAAACATGCTCAATCTCTCTTAATGACGGCTGTAGCTAGCTTATATGACCATATGCTCATATTGTCATTAGCTTTATCGCCTTCTCATCTTCCTATATTGTTCCTTTGCTGCTGCTTTCCTAGAGAGTTATAAACCTTAAGATAATATCCTACCTTAATCACTTTGCTCAACAACACTTATTGCAATCTTAACTGGACCCTAGATGGTAAAAAAGTAAAAATAATGCTGGCTGATATTTATGTAGAACAAAATTCGGCACACCCAGATATAACTCTGCTACCCTGATATAACTCTACAAGTTCACTGGCACCAAACAGTCAACAGATTGATCCCAGTACTTGAGACTACCGAGAGCCCAACAAAGCAGTGCTAGCAGGCAAGTTACAGCTCTTCTTGGTCTGCCCTATACTTAGCAAAGTCCTGACACTACATTAGGTGTGGACAAATATGCCTTTAAAAATTTATAGTACTGTGACAATTTTGGCTTTACAAAAAACCAAAAGCACTATTTTTCAAATCTCAGAGATACCAATAGTAAAGTAAGCATCAAGGTTTTCTTGTCAGGAGGTCCTCTATTTTAAGCAAAGGATGAAAACTGCCCAGCTTAAAAATCAGAAGTTACGCAGGAGAAGAAAAGGATTACAAAGGAGAACACTATACAAAATGCATGATCAGAAAAAAAATAAAATCAAACAATTGTTAGCATTTATGTACTGGAGGAAGATTTGCGTACATAGAAAAAAACCTGCACGTCTGCCATTTGTAAAGCTTGCTAAATTGTGAAAAACATCAAGTACGAGGCAAATGTCAGATCAAAAATGCCAACTGGTAAATAAATTAAAAAATAAGGTTACCTTGTTCCAATCTAAAGCACAGGGAACGTTTTGCAGCCTCTATCTCAGGACTTGGATGATCCAGAACACGCCTGCACCACTGCAGAGGACTCAGTGATTTCTCTTGAGGAGTGAGAGTCTTGGTAGGTAAGACGTACAACCTTAACCAAAATACACACGAATTATCAGCAAGATATGCAATACTTATAAGTTTACTTCTGTATTCTAAATTTCCTGCCCACAAATAATTTATAACAGTGCAAAGCCCTGCAACACAATATTCTAATAACAAATGGTATTATGAAGTAGAAGAGTTTAGATTAGTTTTCTTCTTCCTCCTCAGAAAAGTAGGTGACAAAATATGAACTCTACAGGTCTGGCACATCAAATCAAAGTTCAAGGAGACTTCTTATAAAAATCTTACATCTCATCATTACCATAGTCTGAATTTCAGCACTCCCCAAATTTCAAGTGCATTAAGGGCTACACACACACCAAAGATGCTGTCAGTTTTCTCCTTTATATTTACTTGCACTGGAGATTAGATAATTTCAGTATTTGATTTTACATTTAAATCACAATTTCACTATTACCTGTTTCACTCTTTTACCTATAACAATTTAATCAACTTGTCAGAGTGCTGAGTATGATTTAATTTTCATACACAGTATCTTCTCCTAGGTGAACCAAATGTCATACAAGTCAGATTTTTAAAGATTAGAAAACATTTGCTGGGAAACAATGAAAATCCTATTTCAATATTCAATTCCAGCAGAAAAAAAAGAAATATGCAAGAAAAGCTAGCCTATGTGTTATTCTCAGATGCCAGTAGGCAACTAATCAGATGGTCAAGCACATTAGGAAGCCAGGTATCAAAGCAGATTTCACGGGGAAATTCTTGAAGCTGGGCTCTGCGTTGCTGCTGTTGTCCTTGCGGATTAGCGGACACAAGCAGACGCCGGTTCACCTGGGAGAGGGCAGGTCTCCCGGGAAGCGAACTATTCTTGGCCGTCAGAGATGGCTCGCAGCTCCTTGGCCTGACCACTTCTGATCGATGGGGCTGCAGACAGTCAGAGGCAGATTGTTAGGCACCAGCAAAACACTCTGGGCAAGAACAAAAAAAACAAAAAAAAAAAAAAAGAAAAGATGGAGCTCCTCAGGGGACCACTAACAGGGAACAGCCTTTCACCTTCAGGGTTTTGGCTCAACAGCTGCCCAAGTCCCCTGAACACAACTGTTCTCCAATGTCTGCTCAATGGTTTGGTTTGGTTTTTTGGGTTTTTTTTCTCCCGTGAAGTCAATCAGCACTCTCTATCCAGCTCAGAAGGAACAAATATCGTTGCTGTGATTGCTATCTCTCTTGGCAATCCTAGCAGAGATCAACTACTGAGTCTCTGTGAGGAGAGGACTCATTTCCCCTGACTTCCTGCGGTGCCTGGCTACACATTTAAAAAAATGATACTAAAAAAACTAGAAGGCAAAAAAAAAAAAAAAAAAGAAAAGCTTTCAGCTTTCCTGTTAACCTGCAGAAGAGCTTCAAAAGCTAAACATCTGACTGATGAATTCTCAGTGATCAGACATTTGTATGAAAAGCATATGTAACAGCAAAAAGAGGTTTGACTTGTCTGCAATGATGCTAACTCTACCTTTTTTTTTCCTGGTAACTGCACCTTAAAAAAAAAGCAAACAACAAAGGTATTTAAGGCCTAAAACTACTAATCAACAACTAGGATACACATTGGTCTTTGGCTTTCCAGATAGAAGTTGGCTTTAAAGACTGACACTACCAAAAAGCCCCAAGCAGCTGGTGTCACACAGCTGACCTTTCATGGACAATGATGGAGATTTAGCCTTGAACTAAAAACATTCAACAGCTAAAACAACTCACTCTTAGTGGAACAAATTTGTTAATAAATCCCTGTCAAGAAATTCTTCCTGTGGACCCATACGCTTATGACATCAAGATAAGTTTTGGCCCCCAAAAAGCATTTACTTCCAGGGGACAAATCAAATAGGAAACTACTGAGGCACATAAAATAACTCTGACTTTGCACTGCCCTGAAATATAAACAGGGAAAACATTTTAACAGGACAGGATCAAATGAATTCGATATTCCTTAACATGAAGGAAAGTTAGGGGTTAGTATCTAGGTAAAATTCGATTCAAGTCTGGATCAACAACCCCAGAACAGCCCTGCACAGACTAACAGTACACACAATGAAACAACACTGACAAAAATTTCCATACAGTTTGTTGATACTCAAAAGCAATTTTCCAGAACTGCAGCATGGTATTATTTGTACCATGAAGCACACACAATGAGCATCCAAGAAATATCTGTAATATTTAGATTTTTTTTTAATTCTTTCTCTACTACCAAAAATAAGGATGTTTACATGCAACTCAGCTGCATTATACTGTATTTTAGTCTCAGCTGACGTAAACTTCAGTTTGATCTAAACACATAAAAAACTGCGTTGAAGCTTTGACACATACTTAAATAAGTTATTTA